TCTCTGCAAATCATCAGGGATACATTCCGGTGGAAGTCCAGCTCCTGCTGAACTTCCATCTCCTAGACCTCAGTGCTAGATCTCCATTCCGCTCTCCTCCTGGCCAATCTGAAAGCAAACAACCCCAGACTCTGTTTTGTGATTGGGAAAAGGTAACGGACATGCAAGTACAGATGGAGCTGGACTTCCACCCCAATGTATACCTGATGGTTCGGGGGGCTAGGAAAGCAGTTTATGATTATAACAGGTGGCGTTTCAGAAAAGTCACTGTACAACTTGCTGAACTGCAGAAAGATTATTGTGTCCAGAGATGGGCTTTAATTGCATATGTAGAGTTGTCATATTGATTGTGTAGCTCCAAAGTTCTTTGCACATCTTGAAGTGACATTAAAAGCTGTTGGGGTGCTGCTAAGGAAGTAGTGTGACTTGATCTGTTTGTGATCTTTTCACTGCAGTTACCAACTTATCAATGATGATTACACTTTCTGGCATGGAGATAGTGTAGATGTCTTCTGTAATACCCTCAGATTTGAATAGGACATATTGACATTAAAATATAAGACAACCCGCGACTAAAGTATGAAAATCAAATTATAACCTCAAAATAAAACACAGAAACTGGTTTATAGTTTCACGTATAACCTTGTGCAGTTTGTTTATTTTATAAATGTAATGTTCCTGCTTGTCTTATACCACAAACAATTCACTGTCCAAGACATGACACGGAACAAATCCCTCTATTCAGTGTCTCATGCATGACTGCTTGTCTGATGTTACACTGAGCTCTAGTAGTGTCTGGTGTTTCTGGTCTCACGAGTCTGTAGAGACCAATTATGATTTACTTCATACTCGAAATTGTTAATAAAACAGTTTTGTGTTCTCTGATCAGGTCTGCACTCTTAGTCCTCCTCATTTGATTGTGTAATATAAATCCATGATCTTCACTTTGAACCATATGGGGTACATTTTTTAAATCTGTGCAGATAGACACAGAATAGATCAGGGGTGGGCAAGCAGT